TATAAAGTGAAAACTGTTTTTGCCTCTCCTGAAAAATTTGCCTCGCTACCTGCGCAGGACCATTCGTCGTTTTCCCTTACGACGGCAGAGAGTGCCACCCAGGCAAAGATAGTGTAACTTTTGACTCAGCCACGTTGTGTACACACTTTTTATACCCCAAATTTGACCCGGAAGTCCATTCGGAGGATTTGACCTTTTAACTTGACCAAAGTGTGCCAAAATGGTAGCCTAGATTTTGCCTCTCCATGAAGGAAAAATCTGGCCCTCATTCAAACCATTGAGATTGAGCAAAACTTTGCGTATCGTGCTTTGTTCTTACAATATTCATTATGATATATATAAGTTGTACACTGAGACAAAACTGTACTAAATGAGAAAGGTGCACCATTATGAAAGTGGAATGAACTCAGTTGCCTTAAATGGGTGTCCCCTGGTAGTTTGAGCATGTGTGGCCTAAATAAGCTAAACCCCCCTCCCTTACCTTATTTAGGCCATATGTGGCCCAAATAAGCACTCCCTATATATATATAAGAAAAAACAATTCGACGGCGCTGTGAATGGCGGAAGTTAGATTTGGACTTATCACATAATATAAGAAAATAGGGTGACCTTATTTAGGCCACATATGGCCTAAATAAGCTAAACCCCCTCCCTTACCTTATTTAGGCCACAGGTGGCCTAAATAAGCTAAACCCCCCTCCCTTACCTTATTTAGGCCACACCTGGGGCCTAAATAAGCTAAACCCCCCTCTTACCTTATTAAGGCCACACCTTTATACAAAGTCACAGAAATATTCCTTTTGTGTTTATTGAGGTACAGTGCAGGGTGATTTTACCTGCAAGGACAATTGGACCAAATGGGCAATATCTTTATTGCTAATGGTCATATTTAGACAAATCCTATATCATTCTTTTTTTTTTTTTAACTGCTCCTGGTTATTAAAGAGTAAGCCAACTAGGTAGTAATTTATTGTTTTTAGCGCTTTTCTCAACGTAAAACGGATTCTGTAAAAAAAAAAACCCAACACAACAATGACCTTATCTTTCTTTTTCAAAGTATTGTGCATATATTTGTGTGAAACTATATATTCTATGCTTTCATGTACATGAAAAAAGCTAATAAAGGCAAGCAAAATGTTCTTCAGAGACATAGATCTAGTAGTAGGCCCACTGGAATTTTTTATAAACCGGGAAAGATGACCAGAAAATAACAAAATTATTTTATGATCTTCACTTGCACTTGCAATTTTTTTTGGACAAATTATAGTCTACCTCATTGTCTTTTTTTCCCTCATTTTTCTTCACTATTCATGACAACTGGCATGTATTGTTTTTAGTTATTATCAAGAAAGTGGATAGGCGGACTACAGGGTCTATCTAGCCAAAAGGATAGGTGGACCGCGGGGTCTACCTAACAAAATGCTAGGTTTTAGGATGTGAACCCCGGAGTCAGCATAGTGAAAAAAGTAGTAGATCTAGGTTTAACTAAGGATCGGTGGACCCGGGGTCAACGTAGTGAAATAAGTAGATCTCAGTTTATTTTATAGTAGGACTGGCGGAGCCCGTGGTCAGCGTAGTGAAATTATAAATAGATATAAGTTTAATTAAGGATTGGTGGACCCCGGGGTCAACGTAGTGAAATCAGTAAATCTAGGTTTAATTAAGGATTGGTGGACCGTGGGGTCAATGTAGTGAAATAAGTACATGTAGATTTAGGTTTAATTTTAAGGATTGGTGGAGCCTGGAGTCAACGTAGTGAAATAGATAGGGTCTACCTAACGAAATATTAGTTAGGTTTTTAGAATAGGTGGAACCTGCGGTCACCGTAGTAAAATAAGTAGGTTTAATCAAGGTGTCCTGGGGGTCCACCAATCCTTAATTAAACCTTCTTATTCCTATACGCTATGGTGACTCCGGGGTCCACCAATCCTTTTAAAATGAACCCTACTTATTTCACTACGGTGACCCCGGGGTCCGCCTGTCCTAAAACCTAGTATTTCTCTAGGTAGACCCCGGGGCACAGGGTCCACCTTAAACCTACTTATTTATCACTACGTTGACCCCGGGGTCCACCAATCCTTACTTAAACCAAACATCATTTCACTACGGTGACTCCGGGGTTCACATCCTAAAACCTAGTATTTCGCTCTGCAGACCCCGGATCCTCTACAGGACTAAGCTATTATTAATATGCAATTTTCACTGATCAGCATATTTTTTTTAAAATATTGAATCAGAGACTAGCTGTCTAAAAAGTCCACTGCTAATGCTATTCTTTTCAAATAAAACGGCACAATTTGATTTTATGACATGTTGAAAAAAAGAGTTTTAAAAATATCCCGAAAATAACATAAAATGATTATATAGATCTCTCTCTCTCTCTCTCTCTCTCTCTCTCTCTCTCTCTCTCTCTCTCTCT